GCTTTGTGTAGATAAAATGGAATAGATTTCTGCCAACAAAATTACAATTACATTGCTGTATCCAGGAGGACTTAGAAGGAAGTAGCAGTAAGCAGAGGTTGCTTTGGCAAGCCCTTAACCTCCTAATCTCTTCCCCATTAGGCATGAGGCAGGACTGTAGATACCATATAGGCACCTATATCCAGACCCCAAGTTCTTGGGGCACCTCAACATTATTCCCTTGTGTCGTGCCCAGTGCTGGGATCAGGGGCCTTGTCCTAGGCCTATCATGAGTGAGTTGTTATAACCTCTAACAACTCACTGGCCTTTCTGGGTCTTTGTCTCCAAATTTAAAAATGAGGGGAGGGAGCCTCCTAAAATTTCTTCTTTTTCTAAAACAAAACAAAACAAAAAACAAAAGAATAACAAAATCTACTAAGATCCTATTTTCTATTCATCTCCTTAAGTTTTAAATAATGACAAGAGCATCTGCAAGCCCCTTTCCTAAACTTCTCCAAAGCCAGATAGATGTTCCTGGCACCGAGCAAGGGAAAAGTTTTTCAATAACCTGACATTTGTGTCTTTGAAGGCAAATTACCTCTGGCTTTTTTTCAAGTCTCCTCTTGCTGCTATTGCCTTACAAATGCTTAAAAGAAAAATAAAGTGAGTAAATGATTCATTCTTTCTGATCCATCAGGATCTATTTTACACCAATTAATTTTCCTAAATTGCAACCCTTGGGCGCAGTCTTTCCACCCCTTCATGCTGGTAGCTATGCTTACCAGTGCCGCTGGGTTCCCTCTTTATAGGATGCTTGTTAAATACTCTGGATTGAATAGCTACACAAAGAAACACACCATCGACACATAGAAATTCTGGCCTGAGCCTTCAGAAGCTGATAGGCATGTAGTGGCGGAGGAGAAATTTGGGAGAAGAAAGAAATGGAGGCCGGGCGTTGGTGGCACACACCTTTAATCCCAGCACTCGGGAAGCAGAGGCAGGGGGATCTCTGTGAATTTGAGGCCAGCCTGGTCTCCAGAGAGAGTGCCAGGATAGGCTCCAAAGCTACACAGAGAAACCCTGTCTCGAAAAACAAACAAACAAACAAACAAACACAAACAAACAAAAAACAAAAGAAAGAAAAAGAAAAAGAAAAAAAAGAAATGGAGAGGAAGGGATGAAGAGAAGGCGGAGAGACAAGGTGATCTGTGGGAGAGGTTTTGGGAGAAATCCTGGTAACAGTTCATCAAGCATGTTCATTTCAATGAGTGGTGGAATTTGTATGCTTTTCCTGAGAAGTCCCACTGTGGTGAGAAGCTGAGCTGAGACACAATTTCCCTTCCTTTAATAGCTCCTTCTATGCAGTGCTCTGCATAGCAAGTTGGTGAAGTACTGGGCAGTCCTTTTGTTGGACCCATACCCAGTCCTCTGATGTCAGAATCTCCCTACAGGTTTCTAAAGCCCTTAAGGAAGACCAATTCTTCCCACTGGAGGGCCTGGAGATCAAAGAAGACACTAGAGTACCACCATACAGAACAGCAGAGTCCACTGCCAGCCTTTCCAGATGAGTCCACACACAAGCATTACATCTTGGTCAAATAACAGTAACTTAGTAACAAGAACTTGTTACAACAACCTGTAACATCTTGGTTTAAATAACTCCAAGATAAGTCTAATAAGGCTTCAGTTCTTTTGAGACAGAATCTCACTGTGTAGCTCAGGTTAGCCTCAGTCTCAGAAATCTATCTGCCTCTGCCTCCCAAGTGCAGGGATTAAAGACATGCACCACCACGCCCAACTCATCTAATGATTTTTAGCTGAGAAAATAAAATAAAATCCCATTGGGATTTTCTACACACACACACACACACACACACACACACACACACACACACACACACACACACCTTACTACAACTCTACAACTCCTTTTAAGTCACATTATGATTTCCAGCTGTTCCAGCTTTGACATGAGGTATTGGAAGTCTAACTCCCACTGCAGCAGTGTTCAGAGCTAGGATTTCTGAGATATGATTGGACCATGAGAGCTCTGACTTCATCCGTGGCTTGATTCCATGATGGACTCATAAAAGGATGGCATTACTGGAAGGTGGTGGAAAGTAAGGGGTGGGCCTACTTATAGACCCTTATATTGTGACCTGCAAAGGTATTCTTTATTCCGAGCCTCTTCCTGTCTCTTTCTTTGCTTCCTGGCTTTCAAGAGGTAAACATCTTTCCTCTGCTATTCTCTTACTCCACTGTGGTCCTGTCATGCCATGAGTACAAGAGCCACCAACCACAGGTTGAAACCTCTACACCTGTGAGCCAAACAAACCATTCCTCCATTATACAGTTCATACCAGAAACGTCGTCACAGTGACACAAAGTCTTACTAACCCACAATCTAATGCACGGTACTGTGAAATATATCCACTGAAATGCAAGGGTGAACGCAAGCGCAGAGGAACCCATGTGCAGAGGAACCCAAGTCACTCCAGACCGTATCAAAACAGACACTCTGAGAGGTATCTAGTTAGTTGCTTCCAAACAATAACTTTTCAGTAGCACGAAGAAATCACAAAATTGGTAGGTACCCATGCAAACAGCTGTGCGTACTGACTGATTCACAGTGCTTCTCTCATAACACATGGGATCCTGGGGAAAGGACACTATGTGTGAGGGTCTGGGGGAAAAGAAAGATCGTGGTCCCACTCCCTTTCTTTTCTAGAGAATCTGCAATGCGCCTGTACAGTTCCTCCTAAAACTTAATATTTTTCTCTCCAGTTTTAAGTGTACAACCCATCTCTTCCCACTTTTCACCTTCAAGCTGACTCAGTGTTTAACTTGGCAGAAATGGCTAACTAAAAATTACCAGTGCTTTCCCACCCAGCATGACCCACCATCTGCCATCCTGGATCCACCTTCCTTTAGACCCCTTCCAGCCTGGGGGTCAGGAAGATGTATACGGAGAACCCTTTCTATGCCTTTTCTGGCATCGCAGACTCAGTGGAAGCAGAAAGCTGGAAAAGAGGCCAAGAAATGCCTAAGGAAAGAAGGAGGAATGGAAACAGCTTTTGGAACGATGCATACACAAAAAAGACATCGGCCCCATCTGGAAAGCATTAAACAAAATAAAAAGGGCCTTTCTACTATGAACAGCAGATTAGCATAATACAAAACTCCCCGAATAGCAAAGCTTTCTGACAAACTTTACAGAGTAAAACAGAATCAAAGAGGTACTCCTTCGAGGGATGCCCAGCCATGGCTAAGCTACAGGTCTCTCTGATGCTCAGGGGTAGCGCCATGTAACAGGCGACCACCTACTGCAGCGCCCACTCCACTGTCTCCATCCGGCATTTGTGGTCAAGGCTCCCATGGCAGAGACATCCGATCTGCTCTGTCCCGCCCGCCTGCTGAAATCATGCCCTGCCTCCATCAGCACTAGGGAATGGCTTTAGGAAAACAGTGGGACTCAGCTCTCAGCTCAGAGAGCTTTCCTCAGTATCAGCTTCCTCTCCACTTTCTTGCACAACACGATAGTAAAAAATGAAAAGTATGCTGCAATCCGAGTACATACCCAACAGTGAGTTTTAACTTTCATCACTGTCCTGGTTATTTTGCATTACTGGAATGTAAACAACACATGAGTCCACTAACCTATCACCTCTTGTTTTTCAGGACAGACACGTTAGAACGCTCAAGCTAGACCCAGGAAAAAGATGAAATAGGAAACTGATACTAGTCCTCTCTTGTTATTGTTATTTGTTTGTTTGTCTTTAGACAAGGTCTCTTGCAGTTTGGACTGGCTTTGAAGACATTATGGAACTGAAGATGACCTTCAAGTCCTGATTCTCCTGCCTCCACATCCCGAATGCTGAGATTACAGGCCTGTGCATGGCCACACCCAGTTTATATGGTGCTGTAATTAAAATCAAACCCAGAGATTTGTGCACAGGAGGCAAGTGCTCTATCTACTGAGTCCCAGCTCCAGCCCCAGAAAGAGCGAAGCCACCTCCCTAGCTAATGTGGCTGTTCTAAAGCCTCCTCCTCTTGACTCAGACTTGAGATACTTTTCCTGCTCATTACAGGTCTGGAAGCAGCCAGTCACTGTGACAGAATTTCTGTTGACTCTGCTGTTCATGAATGTGTTCCGTTGGTCGTTACCAGATGGTACGGGCTGGCTAGAGGCTCCTGAGAATGCCTCATACAACCCTTCACCCACCTTTCTGACATTGTGCTAGACTCACCCAATGTTCTTTACCATCTGAAGGCCAAGAGTGTGGACGGAGGGCTCTAGTCACCACCAAGCCCCACAGCCTCTCCGAACCAGCTTAGCTTTAGTCCAGGTCTAGTTGCTTCTCACAATGAGGACTTCCCTATCTCCACTCAAGCTGCCCTACCCCCTCTCCTCTACCCACAGCTCCTGTTAGTAAGGAAAAGGAGGGAGGGAGAGAGAGAGAGAGAGAGAGAGAGAGAGAGAGAGAGAGAGAGAGAGATTATAGGCACCAAAAGTTATTCTGTTATGAAATCCAAGCCAAAAGATAGGGTTTATGAGATGAAAGTCCATAAAGCAAGAAGCTTTTGCACATAGCCTCATATTTTCACATTTTTACCCACAGTATTTCTGTTTTCTCTAACGCCCCACACGTCTGCAAACACAAGTTGACCGGTCCTGTTTCAGATTTGTGCTAATAAGCAAAACTGAGAGAAGAGTCTTAGCTGCATTCCACGAAATAACTTATTTCACGAACATCTGAAGTTTGTTCTTTCTAAAGGCACAGAAGTTCTAAACAAGGAAGCCAGCGATTCTGAGAATTTCATTTTCACCACAGTGGCTCAATGTTTGTTCCTCTGACAACATGCGGTTGGTTACCAGCTTTGCACAGAGTCTTACATTCAAAGCCAGGGCAGTTCCTTTTCACTAGAGACACACTTAAAGTCGGTTCCAGGGAAGGGAGTCAGCTGGGTGGGGTGTTTTAGAGCCACCATGGGGATGTTGTTAGAGAGAAAGAGGCACTAACCTGCGTCGCTTCAATCCGCTGAGAAAAAACGGCTGAGCGCTGTAGTCCTCAGTTATCTTCTGGCCAGCTTCCTGTGAGGTCGCATGTGACATTGCACTTCCTCACTGCACCTTCTTCTGTGCGCCTCTCTAACTGCTCAGAGGCATGTGATACAATCGGCCAGCTGCTTTCTCAAACAGGGTGGCTTGCGCCTATGGAAATGGACATTTCCTGGCAGTGGTTCCCTGGCTTCTTTTGGGTTTTCACAGGTAAAGACGAGATAAGGCTGGCAGCAGATGCGTGTTATGAGACAGGAAAGCAGAGAGAGAGAGAGAGAGAGAGAGAGAGAGAGAGAGAGAGAGAGAGAGAGAGAGTCCACTGCCCCAGGCTCTCCAGCCTAGAGTTGGGGCTCCACAACTGAAAAAGAACAGACTGATACGAAAGCCTGGAGTTTGGATACTCTCCTGCAGTTGGGGTCCTGATACTGATGCCCACCCTGGAGAAGTCTAAGGAAGGGCTTTTGATAGATAGTGCTGTTCCAAGATGTCTCCACACTCTTCTCTAGGGGATGCACTACCACCAGCAGAACAGAACTGGGTCTTGGCTCACACTTCCGGGTCCTACTGCAACCACAGCCACTCAACCCAAACCTCTGAGAGTCTCAAGTTCATACAGCCGATTAGCAGCACTGTCAGACAGTGTGCCCTGATTCTTGGGTTAGGAAACAAAGCCACTGTGTTGTCAGCCTCCATGGACTAAGCCGTTTTGATGTTCGCCTGGCAGGAAAGGAAGAGGGGGTAACCTGGCTATGTCCCTCTCTGCCCTGGATTGGGGAGAAGGCTGGCAGAACCATTTCTAATTTTCCTGTCTGGCCATCCTCTTCCTTCTGATAACTGCCCCAGCTCTCAGGAGGGCCCAAACACACAAGAGCTTGTGGATGTAGGAAGTGGTGTGTGGGAGTAAAATTATGTCCTAGAGCAGCGGGAATATTCTCCAATTTGTTCAACTTGACTCTTGAAAAACAAAACAAAACAAAACCCAAAACGGTTCCTTTTTGGCCACCCCAACACAATTCTTTTTTTTTTTTTTTTAAGATGCTATAAAACAGATTTTTGTTTTTGGATTTCAGCAAGGTAACTGTTGACAAGTGTCAAGTGTCAAAGCTATTTCCCATGTAATTCCTCAGTGTGGTTTCCCACTGAGCCCCACAGTAAGGAAACCAACCCTGCATGAGTGCTGCGGACAATGGTTAGACTCCAGAGTCTCACCGCAAGATTACAACTCTGGCTTTGGGAACACGAGTCACCATTCTCCCATTTTGACAGATAATGGCTGGCTTGGGGATTGGACTGCACATCTGGGTTAGCCAGCTGAGCCAAGATGGATGTTGACACTACAGCCACTCCATTAGCTTTATAATAGGAGTAACCGGAACTCTCCACCGTCTTGGAATTAGACATTGCAAAGAACTTTGTGGATGTAAACAGAAAGGGCTCTATATGAACATGTGGCAGCATTCAGTCGTTTCATATTCTGAGTTTAGTCTCTAGCTCTGTTTTCCACTAAGCAGGTCTTTTGTGCTGTGGTGTGTGGGGTCAGTAAAGGTCTTCAATCACTTAACCTGGCTTCTCCATGTGGATGCATCTTCTGTTTCTAAATTTTAAACTAAAAAATTTTAAGACAATTTAAAATTTTTAAGATTTAAGTTTTTCCATTTTCATGTGTGGGGTGCAGGTATGTTTTCACATGTATGGGCACACGTGTGTGGGGTGTACATGTATGTGTGTTCACATGCACATGGCGGGCCAAGGTTGGTGTTGGGAGTCATCTTCAATGGCTCTTCCACCTGTTCATCAAGGAAGGATCTCTCAATCAATCCCAGAGCTTGCCAATATGACTAATCTTGTTGGCCAGATGGCTCTGAGGATCCCCTTCAGAGGCTGGAATTACAAGTGGACATCACACACGAAAAGCATTTACATGGGTTCTGGATCCAAACTTCTGTCCTCATACTTGTGTGTAAAGGTTTTAACTACTGAGCTATCTCTCCAATCTTGAGATCTTTAGGATTTTACTTTTAGATCAGTTGAAAAGCTACAGAAAATTTGAGATCATACAGAAAGCCCATATAGTCTACACTCAGTCACCTCTATCACTGACATTTTAGATACTAATAGGATATGTAAGTAAGAATGAGTAAGCTGGTACTCAAACATTAACTCAAGTCCATAGCTGATATTTTCTGGGACAAAGAAAAAAGTACACTAAAGGCTAAGAAATTACCTTATATTTGATGGTGTCTTGGGACAAGGGAAACAGTGGTCAAGTAACTCTTGTTGAACTAATAAATATCATTTCAGTATCTCCCCTTATCTCCCCGAAACTGAACTAATGTTTTGATTAAAGTAGCTAGGGATACAGTGTCTACAGATTTTTCTTTTTAATGAAGGATTTGTAGCTACTCCTAGATATAGTCTAACTACCTCAAACCACAAATTCAAACCAAGTTCTGAGCACAGAAGAGGGGGATTAAATTCTTTCCAGGGTTTGGCTTCTGACTCCTTTAGTGATTGCTTCTGTACTTCATGCCTGGGGAGCTGGTGCTGCAACAGGGTTGGAGATATCCAGCCTGGTGGGTGAGGAGCACACGCCCTGCAGCAGATGGAGAGGGGTGGTGGTGAGGGCCCTTGCTTCTGCTTCTTCACTCAGGACGGCCGACAAGTGCAGACTGGCACAGCCCACTGCTCCTTTCTCCATGACCAGAACCTCCTTCCTTCTGTTTTGAGAGCATCATGCCTTTTCTTTATGGGGTGAAGACCAACCCAACCATTCGCTACTGCCATATTTCACAAATGATCACAGACAAAATGCCCAACCTTTTCATCCGGGGCAGAACCTGGACCTATAAACATCACTCTTTGTCTCATCCCCATGTAAAAGGTGCTAAAGTACTGATGGTCCCTAATCATCTCAGCAGCACCCAGCAGGGGTAGAAGAGATGCTGCTTCACTGGCTGTTTTCACTGGTCATGTACCAGACCCTTAGCACTTACCCAGAGCTAAATGTTTTACACATAGATGTTGTTAATTCTTACTGCAGCTATGATCATCTCTACTTCACCGAGAAGTAACCAAACGTAGAATCACTCAACTGTCCAGCAACCCCTCATGAGTTTGAAGCCAACTTACAAGCTCTGTTCTATCTGACCATTAGGGAAATGTCAATCAAAACCAGAAAGTGATACCATCTAACTCTAGTTAGGATGACTATTATCTCACAAACAAACAAAAAGTAACAAATACTGGTTGAGGATGCAAAGAAGGGGAATTTTCATACACTATTAGCAGGCATGTAAATTAGTGCCACCATTATGCAAAACACTATGGAGGTTCCTCAAAAAAATAAAAATAAAACTCCAGCAAGACCCAGCATTTTCATTACTGTGGAAAGGAATCGGTATGTTGAAGAGATACCTGTCCTCCCATGCTCATTGCTGCTCACCACACAATAGTCAACCAGGCTGTCCATCCTCAGAAGGCAACATTACCATTCCAAAATGGAAGAGAGGAAGCATAGTGAGGAAATACTGGACCAAAGCAAGATCAAAAACTAGCTGGGCAAACTCCAAACTCTGCATTTCCTGATGTCAAAGTGCTCTTCAGACCTCCAACTCCTTCCATCTTTGTTGACTATACGGAACTTCTTTCTCTTGGGCTGGTTCTACTCCCTGTTAGCCGTTTCCTCAGCAGACATGCCACAAATCTACATTCTCCAACATCTTGGGGTCTCCAAGGCAATCCAGGCCTCACCTTCACAGCTTCACATTACAGCCTCTCTGGGCCCTCATACAGGGACACTCCTGACACATGCCTGGCCTCGGCAGCTTTCTTTAGTCTCCGAGGCAAATTCTATAACCTTTTCTTGACTCTAAAGCCAGAACCAGGCACCCATATACCCACAAAGTTTCAATACTTTTCTGTTGCTACATGAGGTCAACCCATGTCTAATTTTCTTTCATTTTTTGGTCAATTGAATATAAGTTTTTAAACTAGTATTCATTTAATCATTTTCTACAAAAACTTTGTTTTTATTTGATTAAGTCAATAGTGATCCTAATGTCATATAAAGACTCTTTTGTTTATCTTTTTTACTGAACCAATTCTGAAAGGATTTCATTAAATTATGAAAGTTTATTTGTATTTTTACTTTTGTTATATTTCATTTGTATTATTTTATTTGCACTTACAAATGTTTGCTATAGATAAGATTTCTTCTAGGATTTATACTCTTCTTCTGTGACTTTGCCCAAGTTTTTTATATTTAGTTTTACAAAATTTTTCGTTCCTAACTTTGTTTTGTTAGTTAACATTTTCAGCTACTGCTTGATCTTCATCCTCTCTATGTAATGTCAATTGACATACAATCCTGAATACAGCATATAGCTAGAGAGTTTTTGTTTTTCTAGTGCTAGGAGCTGAACACAGGGCTCAATCATGGTAGACAATTGAGCTCTACTACTGAGCTATGTCCCTAGATTATCTTTCTAATGTATCTGAGAACCAATGGTTTTATCTACTCACTACTTAATCTACTCACATTTGCTTATCTTACTCTGCCAAGTTAGTATATTTATTGTTATATTTCTTTTTTAGTTTTCCCCCCTTTCTTAATTTTTGCTGACTGGCCATGCTTTTTATTATTATAATATCCTCTGACCTTGACTGTGAATATGTGCTTTCAATTTTAATGGTTTAGAAATACTATCTGTGCTTTTCTCTAGATATCAAATACATGTGACCTTTCTTGATGAATGCCAGAGCACTGCCAGATGGGTCCTGGTAATGGTAAAGTCAGTGTTTATGTAAATGAAATGATAGCTTCGTGTTAGTAACAATAATGGCAGAGAAAAGGGTGACATTCCACAGGCATAGGGCATAGGGATGAGACTGTCTTGCTATGTAACCCAGGCTCTAGAAATTAGTCTGAAAGGACAGACTGCAGTGTCTCCATTCACTTCTGCTCTTCCTGTATGGAGGGCAGACTATACCTCTCACCAATAATGTAGGTAAGCATGGGGTAGAGAGGCAGCCAGGAACCCAAAACTGGGACACAGCCAAGAACAACCTGGGGAAAAACCTCTACAAACGTTAGGCTCTGAGACTCACAGACACAAGGAAAATCTGCAGGCGTGTCTGCAGGAGGGAAGC